TATATATATATATATATATATATATATATATATATATATATATACATATATATACATATACATATATATACACACACACACACACACACACACACACACACACACACACACACACACACACACACACACACACACACACACACACACACACACACACACACATACATATATACATATATACATATATATATATATATATATATATATATATATATCATATATATATATATATATATATATATATATATATATATATATATATCATATATATATATATATATATATATATATATATATATATATATATATATATATATATATATATATATATATATATATATATATATATATATATATATATATATATATAGCACAGTTCATTATCCTTATATGTGAAGGCTTGGACAACTGCTCCATTTGCTGCAAAGGCTCCAAAAGGAGATCTGATGTTGCTTAAAGCTCTACAAGACTACAGTACCATCAGCGATGCCATATCAAAGGCAACTTTCCACAAAATGATGAGACACCTCTGGTACTTGTCAGAAGAGTTGGTTGCATTGGCCTTCTTTGATGACGATGTTCTCCCAGCCGTGATGGACCGCATGTTGGAAGCTATGAACATCGTTATTGGAGAAGAAAAGCATGTCAAACGGGTTACAATCAATCCAGACACACTCCAAGTGAAGAACCTATATGATTTCACGACAAAGAACACAGTCACTTTTCAAAAAGCTCTACTTGAATACAGATTTCCTGGCCCTCCCAGTAGAACAGTGGAAAGATGATCCTGGCTTCCAAAATGCAAAAGCCAGTGTACAAGCTTTGTCTGTGATCAATGATCATGCAGAACGAGGAGTAGCCTTAGTCCAAGATTTCTCAGGCCGCATCAACAAGGACGAACAGCAACTGCAGTATCTACTGCAGGCAGATGCTGACTACAGGAAATCATTCCCTAATGCCCTCAAGCAGACCTTACTGGGCGACAAAGAGTGAGACTGGTCCTCATGCGACCCCCTGCCTTGAGCAGCTAATACCCACTTAGACTAAGTGAGGGGGGGGGGGCCAGGCTTGGGGGCTAGGAAATGATGTGTGATGAACATTAAGCATAGGCATAATATTGTTAAATTTCATTTGACTTGAGCAACCTCTAATTATTAAGAATTGAAAAAATATTTTACAGGCAATGTTTCTACCCCAAATGGAAACTTTTGCCAGGGTCTGTGACAAAAAAATGGCAAATTTTGTTTTTTGCCCCAAAAATAAGGACCACCCTAGTGTGTATGTTACTTGCACACGTTGTCAAACCTCTGAAGTCCGGTATCTTCGAGACCTCTGGTTTCGACGTCAAGCATCCTTCTCTACCTTGTGCGGAGGACCAACTTGGTGCAACTATCCCCTTGCTTCTCACCATGTACAAATCCTTTATCCGCTCCTGTGTTGACTACGCTGCTCTTGCCCTTGTCAACATTAGTCAAATTGCTGTCAACCGTCTCGACGTTGTCCAGAGGAAAGCTGCTCGTATCATCCTTAGGGCCCCTCAAAGGACACTCTACTTACTTTATGCTGAACTTGGACTTTCCTCATTACAGGATCGTGTCCATGAGCTCTACCTAAAAACTGCCTTTTCTATTCAACGAGATCCCTGAGGCAACTTTGTCCAAGCCTCTTTGACTCCGGCTCTCCGAGGACGACCTCCATCTAGAAGGCAGTGGCGAGGGTTCACTCACCCGAGCCCTTCAAGAATACGACCTCTTGCCTGATATTGTTGTCATCCCTGCTGTTGGTTCCTCTCGTTTACCCTGGTTGGCTCTTCAGCCCGAAGTGATTACCCTCTGTGGACTGCTCCCGAAATCTCGAATGATCCCCACTTATCACCTCCTCAGGATCGCTTATTGGTCCCCAGGTAGGGTCATCCTCTACACCGATAGCTCTGTTGACCCCTCTACATGTAGGGACGGGGCTGGTGTCTACATATCCCAACCTGGTGTCCCAAAACCCGTTAAACTCTTTCTCAGAGATTCAGACAGGGCATCCTCCACTCAGGCCAAGCTCATAACCCTCCTTGCTGCTCTCTTCGCCGAGGAAGAAACCTGGGAACCCTGTCCCTTACTTGTCTACTGTGATTCTAATTCTGCTCTCAATGGGACAATATCTGGATCAGGGGAGAACAAGAACCTCACCCTTCGAATACGAGGATGCAAGCCGTCCAATGATATTCCTGCAGATACCAAGTCATGTCGGTATCTCGGGGAATGAGGTAGCAGATAGACTTACCAACAGTGGCTCTAACAAGGTCACACCGGATTATGTCGTCCCTCAAACAATTCAACAACTTAGAACACAGAGAGAGGCCTGGGAAGCAGTAATTCCTCTGGACTCCCAGCCTACCTGGTACGATGCCCTGCATAAACTTCCTGACTTCTCCTATGTGTACGGGAAAGGGTCGCAGAAGAGGGAAGCGATTGTAGCTTGACTCATCATTGGGTATGAAAATTAATAAACTGTTGAAATTGAAATTTAATTGAAAGGTTAAGAGCTTGGAATTCCATAACACCCTTACCGTTACACCTATAATGCTTGCCATGTTAAAATCTTCATCGAATATGAAAACTGACTCATAATAACATTCATAAATGTAATATGGTTAAGAAGTCCATTGGTTAACAAGATCATTGAGAGCCTGCTCCACCGTTTATCGTACAACTGTACAGTGGTAATGGTGGTGGCAGCAAGGTGAGGAGACAGATCCTTGCTTTGTGAAGAATAGAGTGGGTCTACAGAGTCATGAGGGCTGATCCCTGCAATTGCTACATTGTTTTAGCTTGATGTAGATATATCCAAATATTGTATAGTAACTTCTAAATTATGATTTTATATGGTTTTATATATACGTGTATATCTTAAACAGAATAGGTCAAATGTTAATTATTACGAAACCAAATTTCAAGGGTGACCTGCTAAGTGCTAGCCAGTACAGCACACCACCGACATACAACATTCACACATGTGTTAAATCTTTCTTTTGCTAATCTCTATCAAAGTTTATATTAACCTGAGTGCAAGACTGGTGACTCAAGATATTCCATTGATTTACTTTCTAAGCGACTACATCATGTGAAGACAATCGGCAGTTTCGGAGGGACCTGCCCAAGGCTTTGGGCTACTACGGGCTACTTTATCAATCTATTAATGACCTGGAAACAACAGCATGCGTAGACGACCCAATAACTAACACAGAGACATTACAATGTCATGTTGGCAGTATCAATGTATCATAAGTTGCATTAAATGTGTCCCACAGCCCTGCATAGGAGGTAAACCTTTATGCCTATCAGCTCTTACTGATTAAGTGTGAAATATCAGTTCTTACTGATACATACAAAATTATATCAAAAATAAAATACATCCCTTCACTATTAACTCTCAAATAAATTTGATATGATCAACTCTATGAATGACTGCACCCCTGCTCTTGCTTGCCTCGACCAAGCACCCACGCAGTGACCCATCACTACCGCACTGAAACAACCTGAATATATGACTATCAATAGATAGTTGTGCAGTGTAATCTGTGAGTATTATTTTAATCAGGGAACTGGAAAGCATAGTATACAGATCGTAAGAGCCAGTACATAGAAATGTGGATAGTGGGATGCCAGTATCGTGGAGTGTGCTGTGAGTGACGTGCTGTGGTCGTGGCAGCGGTGGGGTTCATCTTCACAGGTGTGCACAAAGTTATGAATTATCAAAACAAAATTGAGAAGGATAACTTATTTAACGTGATAGTATGATGGTGGGGCAGACCCCCCAACCCCCGTCTTCTGACGTTCAGCACCCGAACTTGTCCACCAATCAGCTCCATCGTTACAAGACAACTACCATTTTATTCATAAACATCACCACAGGGGGGGGGATAAAGAAACTCTTTGAGCTAACTGTACAAGGTGTCTTAGCACACACACACACACACACACACGCACGCACGCACGCACGCACGCCAAGCTGTACGCTTCCAAGGGGCTGTCTCCACCTTTCAGTCACTCACCTGTGGCGTCCACCAAGGCACCAAGATGGGACCACTCTGCTTCCTTATGCTCATCAATGATGCCCTAAGAGAAACCCCTGCTCGCTGGAAATATGTCGACGACTCCACCATTGGGATCAGCGTCAACAATTCTGCTCCCGACTATACCGCCCTTCAGGATTTATTGAACAGTCTCCAAAACTGGGCCACCAACAACCATGTCACCATCAACCATACCAAGACCATGGTTATGCACATCAACCTCTCCTCCGACATTGTCCCACCTCCTTCCATTACTTTAGGTCCGAACACACTCCAGGTTGTAGAATCCACGAAGCTCCTCGGCGTCACCATAGACAACAAACTAAATTGGAAACCACACGTCAGTGAAGTTGTCAAATCCTCCAGTTTCCGTCGCCACCTCCTCCGCCGACTCAAGTCCCTCGGAGTTCCTGCACTCGAGCTCCTCAGTGTTTACACAACATTCATGCTTCCCAAGCTCACCTATGCCTCCCCTACCTGGTCTTCCTCCCTAAATGCCACACAACGTAAACACTTAGAAAAAGTGCAAAAGAGGGCATGCAGGATTATTCTCTCCCCTTCCTACTCCACATATCAAGAAGCGCTCAACACACTGACCCTTTCGACTCTCACTGACCATCACCACGACCTCATCTGCAAATTTGGTAAGAAGCTTCTACACCATCCTCGACACCGGCTCCTACTACCACCTGAGATCCCTAGCCCGAGAATTGCTGTTCAACACCACAACCGCATCCAGCCCATACGTGCACGAACTGATCGCTATAAGAACAGCCCAGTCCCAACCATTGTAAAAATTATCAATAACTTGTAATAAACCAGTGTATTCACTCCCAGTAAATACTACTACTTGCAGTGTCACTATGTTGAAATGCACTGTAGTTTGAGCTTTTCCCCATCTAGTTATTATATATCTTATTTGTATCACTTATGTTATTTGTATATTATTTGTAATTCGAAACCCATTCCCCAAATATGTAACTGTATATTTTCAGCCTTCTGGCTGCCAAGCTCTTTCAATAAACCGTTAATTATTATTATTATTACACACATGTAAAGGTTGTCCTATAAAACAAGAAGGAACGATTATGAGAGAGAGAGACAGACACACACAAACAGATAGTCACAATCACTAGATATCTTCTCTAAGTCCACAACGTCTTCAACTTCTCTTCTTTAGCGATGTCTATTGTCTTAATGACTTCGGTTTTCAGTTCCTCTTGTAAGTCATTAATTGTCTTGTCGGCATCGATGACCTGAAAACAAAAGAAACTTGTTGATTGTTGTTTTGTTTTTTAAGGAAGAAAATTTATGTTAATTTTATGTTAACATAGTACAGTATATCAAAATTGAAGTGAATCATTTTTTTCATTTTAACGAATGGACGATAATAATAATATTAATAACAATATTAATAATATTAAATTAATATTATTAATAATAATAATAATAATAATATTAATAATAATAATAATATTAATATTAATAATTTTAATAATGATAATATTATTAATAATAATATTATCATTATTAATAATATTAATATTAATATTAAAAATAATATTAATATTAATATTAAAAATAATATAAATATAAATATTAATATTAATATTAAAAATAATATTAATATTAATATTAAAAATAATATAAATATAAATATTAATATTAATATTAATATTAATATTAATATTAATATCAATAATATTATTAATAATATTAATAATATTAATAATAATAATAATAATAATAATAATAATAATAATAATAATAATAATAATAATAATAATAATAATAATATTATGAACAATAATAATAGTATTAATAATATTATTATTATTAATAATAATAATACCTGTATTATTAATAATAATATTATGAATAATAATAGTACAGGTTGACAATCCCTTATCCGAAATCCTTGGAGCCAGAGGCATTTCGAATTTCGGAATTTTTCGGTTTTCAAAATGGTTAGGGTTTTTTTTTTTTTTTTTAGCCCACCCGGGCATAGATCACTGACCCACATCGGGGGAGCGAAAATATAATAAAATAATAATAATAATAATATTAATAATAATTCATAGGTGTAAGTCGTGTTTCTCACTTTTGATCTTTTTTTCATTCTTGTACAGTATTTCTTTATTATTATTATTATCATTATATTATTACAGTATTATTGTTATTATTATTATTATTAATCTTATTATTATATTTTATTATTATTATTATTATTATTATTGTTATCATTATCATTTTATTTTGGTGTACAGTATTTTCATTAAAAATTTTATTTACTATGAATAATTATTATGCGCGGCGTGGGTGTGGTGGAACGTCCTCCCTGATCTAAAGTGTTATTGGCGGGGACATACTCGCTGTGTGGGAGCGGGAATTTGACAATGTGTCCGTGAATATCGGATGTCACCCTAAGCATTGCCACCCAAGGTTTCTTCTCATCCCTTACGGCATAAATTGAAAATATTCCTTGTGTTCACCGGCGTTCACCAAGTGAGTGGTGACCTGTGCTGGGTCGGTGGTGGGATAATGAGGAGGCTCGGCGCCAAGGTCAGTGTCGTTAGGCCTACGTTGACAGGGGTGGTCCCGAGACTTTCGCCCCTATGGGGCCGAGAGTGCTGCCCATGCGATCGCCCCCCTCCCCCACCATAGTAACGGACACTTAATGTAGGGTCTCGACGAACCAAGTGAGTATATATAACTGATATTACACCAGTGAGACCATATAAATAGTGGTTATCTGTGCCAAGGATATATAAACACGTGCTTGGTGTGACAAACTCTTGTCCATAGTGTATCATTCTGATGTATGGATGGTCGCTATTAGGGGGGGTAGCCTACACACCCACCCACGCGCGCACATATGCCCCTACTACCTGGACACAGCAGTCCAGCCTGTCACCTCTCCGCCCTTCCCTCATAAGAACCAGTATTATCTTGTGCCTGGGACTAACTCAGATGATCGGAGGCGGACGTAACTGTCGCGCAAGGTGCTGTTCACTATGCCTGGCAACAATCATTGCTGCGTCTGTGCTAACCCGAACCAAAACTGCACAAATTGTGTTTGTGCGAGAAACAACCGACCATGTGTGGATTGCAAGAAGCGAGACCAGTGTCGGAACCCACGTCGCAGGGAGCCGACACAGGTGGCCACAGTGGATATCGCCGGGACCCAACTACCCGATGATATCCGAAATGATAGCAGTGAGTCTACTCAATCCGAAAATGTAGTACTAACAAATGCTGCTCCCTTAGTAGCAGGTGTCCACGAGGAGAATGAGAGACAGCCACCTCAGTGGAATGGCATGTCGATGGAAAATGCAGACATATGGGTCAAAGAAACCTACTTAGAAATTGTCAAGTGGTCGCCCGCTAAATTATTTGAACCACCCAAGTGTGAGGCCACCAAAGAAATGATTCGGGAGATGACTCGCTTCATGACTGATTACACTCAGGACCGCTTCCTCACCCCCCTAGCTCTTCAAATACTGGCAATAATACCACATCTATTTTGTCAGAGGACACACACAAAGGCTAAGCACAAAGAAAATGTGGCAGCAACGAAGAGAAGATTGACAATGTGGCAGACTGGAGCCCTAGATGATCTCCTATGTGAAGCAAGAACACTGCAGGAGACTAAAAATTGCGGGTGACGGAAAGCAAAACACCGATGACGTGGCAAGAAAATTTGGAAACAAAATGCGTGTGGGAAAAGTGTCTCTCGCGGTAAGATCTCTCACAGAGGAATCCTCCGGTGGGGTGATGCCAATAAACAGAGAGACATTAAAACTATTGAAAGAGAAACATCCCCCTGCAAGCGAAGATGAAGGCATCAGGTTCCAGGGTGACTATATCCCACCAAATGCTGTCCTGTTCGAGAAAATAACAGGAGGGATGGTATGGAAAATGGCATTGAAGACTCAGGGAAGTGCCGGCCCTTCAGGTCTGGATGCAAACAGTTGGAGAGTCATCCTCAGCACTAACAAGTTTGGCCCCATAGCAAGTGATCTCTGCACGGCCATTGCCATCCTTGTAAGAAAGCTGGCATCCTCGTGCTGCCAACACCTCCATGCTCTGACGGCCTGCCGCCTCATTCCCCTGGATAAGAATCCAGGACGTAGGCCTATAGGGGTGGGGGAAGTGCTGAGGCGGATCATTGGAAAATGCATAATGGAGGTGGTAAAGGATGTCAGGGCAGCAGCAGGGAACCTGCAAGTTTGTGCTGGCCACCAGGCTGGAAGGGAAGCTGCCATTCACGCCATGAGAGTGATATTTGAGCAGCGCGATTGTGAAGCCGTTCTCCTGGTGAACGCTTCAAACGCATTCAACATACTTAACCGCAAGGCCGCACTGCACAACATCAAGATCAAGTGTCCAAGCTTTGCAATGTATTTGAAAACTCCTATAGGAATCCATCAGACCTTTATATAGTAAAGAACAAGGCCCTAAGAGTTGATACCATCATACGCAGGGGGACCCTGTTGCAATGGCAATGTATGCAATAGGCCAATCCGTGCTCCAACACACATTAAGATTCGAAACAACTGAGGTCAAGCAACTGGCGTACGCTGATGACCTTACAGGAGCAGGAAAAGTGGAGGACATCAAAAAGTGGTGGGACATGGTAACATCACGAGGCCCACAAATAGGGTACCACCCAAACGCCAGCAAGTCCTTCCTCATTGTGAAGCCAGAACATTATGAACGGGCAATGGAGGTGTTCGGTGGAAGTGAGGTCAAAATAACAAAAGATGGCCAAAGACACCTAGGCGCAGTAATCGGAACGACGGACTTCAAGACTGAGTACGTAACGGGAAAGGTGAATGAGTGGGTTAGGGAAATCCAAGCTCTGTCCGAGATTGCTAACACAGAGCCACATGCAGCTTTTGCGGAATTGACCCATGGAGTCAAGCATCGCTGGAACTACCTGATGCGCACTATCCCTGATATCGGACCCCTCCTCCACCCTCTGGAAGAAGCTATCAGCGTCAATTTCATTCCCAAATTAGAGAAACACCTTCACTTAACCCCAGCAGAAAGATCACTCCTTGCACTACCACCGAGACTGGGAGGAATGGGACTGACCAATCCAGAGGAGATTGCTGCCACCGAACATAAAACTCAGTTAAGCTCACAGCAGCCCTTACGGACTATATAATAGCTCAGAACGCAACAGGGGAGGTGGATACCAGTGAAGTAAACAAGATTCGAAGGTCCATTACGACAGAACGACAGCACAGCTAAAGTGATAAGTTGCAGCAACTGTTGCTGCAAGTACCAGAGAACTTGAAAAAAATAGTAGCTAAAGCATAGGAGGTGGTTGCCTCGAACTGGTTACCTACGTTACTAATAAGAGCAAATGGTTTCAGTCTCAATAAACAAGAATTTACAGATGCCAATGCTCTAAGGTATGGTATGCCAGTAGAAGGTTTAACCTCTCAATGCGTGTGTGGCTCTCCATATGACGTCGATCACGCCATGGTGTGCAAGAAAGGGGACTTCATATGCATGAGACATGACGAAGTATGGAATCTCACAGCAAATATGTTGAACGAAATCTGCCGTGATGTCAGGGTAGAACCGACCCTCCTTCCATTGGACGGTGAAATTTTCCAACATAGGACTTCAAACACATCCAACGAAGCCCGTGTTGACGTCAGTGCGCGAGGATTCTGGACGCAGGGACAGCGAACCTTCTTCGACATCAGGATTTTTTATCCCATGGCCACATGTCACCGTACCTTAGCTTTCGATGCTGCACACAGGAGGAACGAGAACGACAAGATAAGGGCATACAGGGAGAGAATTCAGAACGTTGATCAAGGCAGCTTCACTCCTCTAGTGTTCACACAACCTCTGGTGGGATGGGACCAAGTGCAAGATGCTTCTACGCCAGACTCGCGGAAGTGATATCCGAACAGAAGCAGCAGCCCAGAAGTTATGTTACAGCCTGGATGAGATGTCGACTGTCCTTCTCTCTCCTTCGGTCGGCTTTGCTCTGCCTCAGAGGAACGAGAGCATCGACCCCAAAGCCGACAACAGTTGCAGATATTGAATATGAGGCTACAGTCACTGGATGTCGCATAGATCTGCGGCTCAACTAACTCAACACAGCTAGGATAGCTACTTATGTATTAGGATATTAATATTAAGGTAATGAAATGGTGGCGAAGGTATGGCTATTGGGGTAGGCTGGAAGCCATTTAAAAAAAAAAAAGTAGTAATATTGTTATGACCTTGGCCT